AAAAAAAATGATAAGGATGATTTAACTTATTTAAAAATCCCCTTGATTTGTGTTCCGGCAATTTGTTTCATTTTTTTAGGAGACTAAATCTCTACTTCTCGTTCCTTTGTTATTCTTTAAGTATTTTTTTGCTTTTATGTCTATCTTATCGGTAGAAATTACTTTTTTGGTTCTGAGGACGATTATTAATTTTCTCCATGCGTTACGCATTATTAAGCTTAACTTTCTTCTATGGAATTCTGATCATTCTTGGATTTGCCTTTCATTCTAGTCCATATCACATAGATAGCTTCTTGAGCATTATCATCAAGCCTCAATTCCATTTTGGTATTCTTTTGATAGCCTCCAAGGCAGGTCTTCTGGTAGACCAGAAGCGTTTTATTTGGTTTTCTTTATCCATTTCAATCTCTGCCTCAAAGGAATTCTGAGCTAAGGCTTATTTAATTTATTCCCTCTTTCAGGCTATGAGACAGGTGGATATTTCGTGTATGCCTCAAAGTTTGGTAAGTGTTTGCAATTACCGATATCTCGACATTGTGGACATACTACATTTGTAGACTGACCTCATTAATTCTTTTATTACCATTTTCCACGACGGAATTCAATTAGCCGAAACTTGAGCTGAAGTCTCGCCTGTGATTAGTTATTTAGTTTAAGTGTTCGCTGAAAGGAGTTGTATCAAAGAGGTCTAACTTTAGTCAATATTACTTTAAGCATTAGTATCTACCTTTAGGCTCTATCACATTTTGGTTCACATCACTTGCATACAATTTTCCACAATACCGTGGGTAACGTCCTCATGGATTTTCAAGAGTACAACCCGGTGTCCTTGTTCTGCAAACGAACTCGTTGATACAATTCCGACCATATAACCCACACTCTTGGTTTTAGCCACAGTCGCCTCGATTTCTCCTCTGCTATACAGGAAGGTAATAGTGCTGGGCTGTTTTTTAATTATTTCCAAACATCTTCATTAAACTTTTCTTTTAGCACATGACTCATTAGGAATTTGATTGAATCACAATATTTCAATGTGTATTCTTTAACTCGATTTATAGGTTTATTAATTATTACCTAAAGTAACGCTGATTTTTATTTTAATAAACTTGTTTCGAGTGTTTCAATTAGTCTCATAATTGTAATTAAAACGCCTTATTATCCAATACTTGCTGAATTTTCTATATAGCCCTGATTTTATAAGTATACCCACGACTATGTGAATTAGATTCGAAAATTAAACTGCTTTTCTGATTACAACAAAGCCTTGGCCTTAACTGGCCATGTATGAATTATGTAAATGCAAATTATCTACTACTTATTGGAGTAAACGGCATTTTTTGCTAACAAACGGCTTATTAAGTTTCTGTAATGAAGAATTTATTAAATTGGCGTTTTAAAGTCCCCCACTATTTACTTTCCACTTCCCCTATCCAGACCGACGCCGTTCGAGAATCCTTAAAGAATACACTTCTTGTTATGTTCACTGGGACGCATGATACTCCACCCCTCCTTGCCCGACCGCTAAGCCCCGATGCAGCTGTGCCTTCTGAAAATCAACCCTCCGAATCTACCAGTGAGGATCTTGCCCAGTTACTCTGGCGAATTACAGAGCAACGTCTTTCAACCTTCCTTCCTGATTTGATGGATCAACTATTCCTGCCTTCTCTACCATTATCGCCACCGGTTGCGTTCGGCTTTGCACCAAATGGTCCTGCCTCAGGACTCTCGAGCTCTCCAGTAAATGGTCAAGACATGACGCTGAATGGCTGTGAAGCACGTGGGGCACAGACCACTATGTCTTTGCCTGTATGCACTAGTATTGAGGAAAATCAGCTTGACGCTGCAACTCATTTGAATAATATCCCTACTTTTCTCAATCCTAACCCAATAATTCCTGATGCATTAAAAGCCAATTGTATCTCTAATGAGCCGACTGATTTGGCTTACCCATCAGCTTATTGCCCTCCTTGCGACTGTGCTGATGCTTATTTACCAACGGGTGATGTCTTGAACTTGATTAGTGAACCAGGTATGCACTATCCCAATTTAGCCACTTTTTATCCAGTTCAAGCAGCTGAATCTATTTTTGCCCATTCCGAAATACTCTAAAGGCAATAACATTAGATCTATGGTAGTAATAAATTTTTAACACTCTTACTCTAGAGTAATCAGCACCAAATTTCTCAATTTCTGTGAACCAAAACATGAAAGAGGAGTCGAAGTGTGGCGAGAAAAAAAGTGGGCTGTACGACGAAAACATAATATATCAGATTAAAGTCAATTAGTAAATAAGTAGAAACATCATATGAGCTCCTTCCGGATGGAAGAAGTCCGCGTCGGTTAAAGTTCATGGCATCCCTGTGAGAAGGGAATAGCATAGACTGAGAACGTTTCCCGCACGATTAGCGTACCTTGATTGTGCTAACTCTTTGTTGTTTTGATTGGAGATTGAAGATGGCCGTGATTAGGTGAGGATATGCATATTATTAAAACACCGATATATCTGTTAAGTTTACGTATCTCTGTGCCCCTCCTGTTTCTTGAAGGACTGGATGATTGAGCTAAACATTAAAATGAGTAAGTCATGTGGGTTATCTTAAGACTCCGAACAAACGCAGTCCTCTTGGTTATTTGAGTTTTAATTCCATATTTCACCAAAATCGTTTTGTGATATTGGATGGATCTGCTTATCTTAACTATCTGGTGATGACCGGAACCCTTGTTTTACGCCAATTATGGTGATCGTTCTTATCTCTTCCTATTGCTATTCGTACTCCCTAAATTAATTCAACGCTTATTTTGGTACTTCTTATCGAGATTTAAATTCAATTATTACGCATTGCGTCAATTTGTGGTGTTATATCAACAATACACTGTGTATTATCGCAATTTTCGGATGTCACGCATATGATTTTTATCATCTGCTCCTTTCTTTAATTTTTGCCCCTTTTTTTCTACTTCCTGTTCATTCTAGATTCCAACCTCTCTGAAGTTCCAGAACCCATCTCAGGGACCGCTTCAATTTATACCCCTGCATCTTTGCCCTCCTCTATAACCTTGAACGTATCCTATAACCAGTATCAGGCCGACAATTTTCCGCAACCCCTGCATTCCACATCAGTTTCGCAAGCATCTCGTGTTTCTACGGTTTCCAGAAACGAAGTAGTTCCTGCCACCATTGACGGTGCCACTCCATTCCATCCGTGTTTGCCTGGTGATCCCACCATCGTCCAACCTATTTCCCTTTGCCCCCCCACTCCACCTATTACTGAATGTCCATCGGAGGCTTTAACTATTATTCTTCCGGATTCTAGAACAACGGTCTCTTCTCCGTCACATCACGTAATTCATGAACTCTGATTTCTCTTGGTTGGGAACTTTTAATAGTATTCTGATCATTTCTTCATGGTCTACATATATTTCTTCAGCTTATATGACTACAGATACACAATCCATCCTTCGCTATTGCCTCAAGCATCACATGAGACTTCGGAGCTATCTTTTAGCTATCCCTGAGCTACCTTTTGTAATATATTTTTGGGACGTTTTACTCTGCAGTACCGAAGGCTCTCTAGGTATTTTTTTAATTATACCTGTCTATTGTATCTCACTAATAGATTGCTGTTGCATGTCAATGGGCATGGATTTTCTCTGGTTTTATGGACATGACACAACTTGGCACGCCCTTACCATTGCCTAGATTCATAGCATAGAGCTTTAATGATATCAATATCTCATCATAATTTTTTCTTATGTCATTTTCTTAATGATTTTATCAACGATATATTATTTCTCTGTTCTTGTCACATTTCTTTTTGCGTTATTTTTTGTCTTTATCTTCTTCGTACCTGGCTTAATTTATTGTAACCTATCATCTCGTTAGATGCTGATTGCAATCTTGGCACATGGTATTGATATTTGAGGCAATCCCACCAGATATCCATTATTCATCGCTCGCATTATTTTTTTTACCCTATTGTAGTTACTCTTGTTCAAGTCGATTTAAGAAGGCGAAAAGTTTGCCTCTTTCCTCCCTCTTGCTGCCTTTTTGCGGTTGACATACTTTTCTCAAATTGACTCTACTCGCTTCATTTTTCGCCAACTAGATTGGGTAATTATGCTATTTTATATAATGAATTCAGTGTATACAATGGACTATATTTGTATATGTATGATAAATCGACATCTTCATCTTCTATCTTTCCATAAAGTCTATTTTACACTATGTAAATATTTCATTTGGCACACATTGCGAAAATATTTATCTTCTATTTGATACATTTCAGACTGAAATTATTTAGTATAATTATCAAATTTTCTAGTTTTATGGACCTTCACGTTTCCAAATGCATTACTGGCTTACGATCGTACCGTTTCTAACCCCTGGAGATAGTAAATCCTTTTATTTAACCTTATTTTTTCTTTAACTTATCAATTTTTTAGTTCTGATCCCTATAAATATCTTATAGCTAAGCTTGAGTTCCTCATATTTATGTCTATATTTACTTGGACATTAGCTTCCATCTGATATCTGCAGATTTCTTGCTCAGACCATTTAGTAGTTTATCTTTAACTGAAATTCATTTAATTCTTCCTCTTGATTTGCTCTTATCTCTCTCGTGCCATTGTGTGCTATCCACCTGCATGACATTTATGCTATTCTCTAGGTTCGCTGCCATTATATCAGCTATGGAGACTTTTTCCCAGAGATATTTTTTCCACCTTCCCTCATCAACTTATAGTATTTTATTTCTCTGCCTCAGTATTGGGGCAAGATATTTCAGAAATAACCTTTTCGTGAATGTGTTTAAACTGTGCATCTTTATTACTCACTCTCCTCGATTTCTTATGCTATTTATCTGCTCCTTTGATAAACTCTCATTTTCAAATTGATTTATGACACTGGTGAATATCATTTTTGTGATGTGCACTTTATTTAAAAGTTTTAGGATGATACTTTATTCTTAAATGTCTACCGTACTTTTTTCACGATTCGAGACCCCTGCCCAACATCTACTGAAAAAAGTCAAGATTTGCACTTTTTTGTTTAGTGCATTTAATGTTACTCATTCAGCGTTTAATGCCTTGTATTTGATATTAGAATTGGCTTTCATTTAGACCAAACTATCTTATACTGGACAGTTTATCTGTTTGTATTTTGTTCAATCTTAATTAAACGTTAGTCTTGGTGGTCTTTGATCGTCTAGTTAATTTGCTGACTATAAGATGAAGAGACTTCGCTTCTCAAATTTACTTTATGGTTTCTTTTTTTCCAAAATGGTTTTCTTATTCTGGCGGTATTGACCCTTTGGTCTTATCATAGTCCCCAACTGGATTTGAAACTGCGTTGTTCGCACCACATGAAAGATTTTTGATGCTCACAATCCCTTGTCGTACCCTCAAAGGCAAGGTAGGCTTATCTAAATTCGCATATTTGCCACTAAACTCGAAATAATTAATCAAATATATTTGTTTTCTATATTGATTGTTATTAACTCTATTTTATTGTTGTTTGGGAGTTGAGAACGTTTGATGAGATTCGTAGATCGATCTTATCTGATTCCCGTTGTACTGCAGCCGTACAACGTTTTAGGTGAAAATGGGCTGCGCTTTCGTCCATCATATGATGGACAGCCTCAGAGCTGGAACTCATTTTTATAAACCTCTCATGCTAATAGTAGGTCAAGAAGTCTTCGCCTCTTTTATATATACTCAACTGACAATAAAAATATATAGGCAGGAATAG